GGAGTTTGAAAAAAATTTGTCTAAATTAAAACGGTCATCGAAGTCAACATCACAGAGTCCTCTTTCGTATGGTGTCTGACAGTTAGTAACTTCCTGCTAAGAAATGAACGACTGAATAACACAACGAAAAATGCTTATGGATGCGTTTCTTCGAAGCAATGAAACACTCCCCATTCAAATCAATTTACACTACTTTTGTTTCGTTCCAAAAAAATATTTTTTTAAAGATATTATAGAAAATCAACTGAAAATGACACGAAAACACTGAAAGCAAGCAAGCAACGAACCTTTTCGACTCACATCCAGCTGGATAAGATAAGAACATCCACAGCAGTGACAGCCATATAAAAACAATCAACTTATACATTTTTCTCTGTTTTAATTTTTGGTAATGAAAATTTTGCATAGCGGTTGTGATAATATATATATATATATGCTACTATCTTTAAAATGTTATATATGGGCATAATATGTATATATATATATATATATATATGTATATATATATATATATATATGTTCTGATGACTGCATATATATATATTATATATATATATGTGTGTGTGTGTGTATGTGTGTGTGAGTGTGTGCGTAATAAACATGTTTATATATATATATATATATATATAATTTATTTATATATATATATACTAGTGTATATATATACTAGTGTATATATATATACCTTCCGCGTTACTTAGCTGCTTATTTAATTTTCCAATTTTTCTAAAGGTAGATCGTAAATCATTGTCAAGTTTCTTGAGTTCAAAACCAAAATTTTTATTTATTTTAAGCATGATAGAACAAAAAAGCTTTTTTCGGTATTCCTATACCATCTTCGGTGTTCGAATTGATTCGTTGTGTATGTGGCCAAATGTTCTAATATATATATACTGTGTCTCTATAATGTTAATTCTTTGTTTAGAGTAAATTCTTTCTTCGTTACTTTACTTTTACGATAATAACTTTATCTGAATACATTACGATCTTATCTTATGATGATCCTCTGTTTCCAAATTTATCAGTGTGGAAGGACTCCAATTGAACGTTGTTCAATATTCATTATCGGATGTCTTTGTTCTATGAGTATTGATTCGACCAATCGTAAATTATAATAGTTGTTTTTGTAATGTAAGATTTTAACATTTTTAAGATTTGAGATTTGCCTAGTAATTTTAGCTTTGTGTTTTTCGTTTATGTGATTGTTTATAGCGCCTCAAACACACACACACACACACACACACACATACATACATACATACATATACACACACACATACGACGCACACACACACGCACGCAAATACACTTTTGCAACAAGGAAGATATCTACTGTTAGTCATCCATGTGCATTCTACTGCAAAGACTAAGCAGCAGCGCAATGCAACTCAATCGCTACTCAAAAGAATATAATTAGAACCTAGTATTATTTAAATTTATAATATGTTTGAGTAAGTTTTAATCACGTATATTAACGTTCTAACTAAGCTTTCTGGTATTACCTTGTTTTCGTAATTCAAAGAAGGAGATAGCTCTACAAGAGTCAACGTTTCGAGAACATTGTAGATGTATGTTTGTGTGTGCGTGCCTGTTTGCGTGTGTGTCAGTGTGTGTATGTCTCTCTATGTGAAAATATACAAAAAAATAAAAATACATGATGAAAACCATTTTTAAGTCTACGTACTGCATTAATTCCGGTCTACCTTAATGTATTTTAGTTAACATATGACGGTCTTTTGTATGTTGAAAAAAATGGTTCTTCACCTATTCACTGGCTATCCCAGCTTGAACTTTCATGCATATAAAATGATATAAAAATATATATATTATGATATTATATACACGTCTGTGTGTTTGCAGTGCACACCGATATTATTAATAAAGTTGAAAGGTGTTTTTTAAATTATTTTTAGTTGAAATTCTTTTGAAAAATTTTGAACAGTTAGTTTATTAATAATCTCATTGAATTTCTGAGATATTTTTGATAGTTACAAATAAATAATCTGGAAAGATTACATTAATTCACGTAAAACTATTTTCATGAAACTTTTCCAAACGTATCTTATCCATACACTTGCAGCATAATTTCCAAATTAAACAAACCACCAAAAGAAAAATATAACAAATAATGAATTGATACAATATTAATAGTTAATAATAAATGGAAATAATAATAATAATAATAAAATATTTACCTGAACAAGATTCTAATGCGTTTTATTGGCAAGGGTTTTTACTAAATTGTAGCTAGTGTAAGCCAGTGAATGTATATGAAATTAATGTAAGTGGATTGTTTGTATCAAGTAACTAATGGAATTACTATATGGTATAGCCTAGCACCCATTTGAATGCGTCTGTGTATGTGTTTACTTATGTTTGATTTATTGTGTGTGTGAGTGTGTGTGTGTTTGTGTGTGCGTGTGTGTGACGATGTGTGAAACGATATTACGCACACGATTCGTGGTATATTTTTATATTTTAACAAATTTCCAGTGCTGAATAATTCAGGCATAAAAGTTTCTAAATTTAGTTACAATTCAGGTTCGGTAAGTCACGACTATCTGTCGAAGGGAAAGTTAACAACAAACTGTCAATCGTTTTAATTTTTTTATTTCTTTATTTGTCGTTGTTGTTGTTATTGTTATTATTATTGTTGTTGTTGGTTTACTTTAGAGATATGTACCTAGATTTTTAATGTATTTAAAAGTTTGCTAACCGTATACGCTCAAAAGATTTTATAAAAATTGTCAATTTGTTAGTTTCGAGCACTAAAACTTATGGAAAAAGAAGTGAAACAGGTTCAATGGTTTATTGACGCTTAAAAGGAATCATAAATAAAGCGCCATATAAATAAATTAATGAATTTTATCATTAAATTTGTATCTTTTATTAATACATTTCATTATTACATTAGTATCGTCTATTATCAGTATTTTATAATAGTGTGTATATACCATTATACAAAATTGTACCCGACGGCGTCACAATGTTATTCTGTATCGGAGTCGGTGGTGGTTGTGGTAACGCTTGACGGCGTGGCGTTTGCTTGCTGTGTCTCCACCGTAACTATTTCTTTTAGCAAACCACGTCTCGATCTTTCGAAGTATTCAAGATGAAATGTTTAATACAAAATTATTCGAAATAAAATAAAGACATGTTAGATCAAGAAATGAATCATTCAGTGTTAGCTAATCGGTTGATTACGATTTTAAAGTAACGTTCTATCACGCACACACTGTACTCTAACACAAGTCCCTTTTAAATTAACAATTAAAAACAACATTGTCTGTGTGCATGATGTCTCTCTCTCTCTCTCTCTCTCTCTCTCTCTCTCTCTCTCTGTGTGTGTGTGTGTGTATGTGCGTGTTTGTGTGTGTGTGTGTGGCGTGTAAGAAAATGTTTAAAAAGGGGCGTATTTAATCAATTATACCGCACCTATGACCCAAGCTGACGATGGTGATGTTGATGGCCACTAGAAAGATGCAGGCTAGTAAGGAAACGAATTGTACGTATATTTTGTAATCTGTTGCGGTTGTCATCATTTTTTTTATTTTCATCAGTATTGAAATTATATAATGCTAGTATTAACGCCATTATTATTGGCATTAATGTTAATATTGTTAATTATTAAAGTTAATAGAATCTACATACTCGTATAATATTTTAACTGTGATTCAAAATGGAAATATAATATGAATATTAAATAAATTGAGATGGTTTTTGATGAATTAGATTATAATTGAAGTGTGAAAATTAACTTAAAAACTGAATAACATTTCAAAAAAATTTGTCAAATTTTAAATTGAAATAAATCAAAAGTTATAATTAAATCAAAATCTATTGTAGTTAAAATAAAGGGTTCGGAATAATTTTTTCGCAATAAATTTACTTTCTGGGTATGTTCCAGTTGGGCTATTGTTGTTGTTGTCCATTTTTATCATTCGCGTATTTCCTGGCTTTAACGGTAGTCAGACAATTTAATAAATTTTTATATTTTATTTTTGGGATTATTTAAATTATAAATTATAAACTTTTTTGTTTTATATTTGAGAATATTTAAATTCTAAATTATAAAGTTTTTGTTCAATATTTGAGATTATTTAAATTATAAATTACAAGGTTTTTTTGTTCTATATTTTAAATAATTTAAATTATAAATTATTAAATTCCTATTTCTTTTTTGAGATAGTTTAAACTCTAAACTTTTGATGAAACTGTTTTAGTTCTTTCAGAAAGCGAATTAATTTTATGATATCTCTGCGAACTTTTACTTATTCAACTTCGATTTTTTTTAACTATTCTATTGTAATTTCAAAAATTCATAAGTACAGTTATGTAGACTTATTCAATTGTTAATTGCTAAGGGTTTTATTTTCAATGATAATTATCTACATAAATTGCATTGAATGATGGGGTTGGTGTTTGTTGTATGTTAGTTTCTAAAAACTCTGTTTACGTTTCAATTGCGTTTGAATATCAAAGAAAACTTTTGTTGTATTAGTCATAAAATTTTTTACAAAAACTTCAACTGGTTTGATAATTTATTTTTTGATTTAAAAATTATAAACTTAAGTTGAATTTAACAAATTTATTTTTATCAAAAAAAAAAACACGAAAAATTTAATTTTCTAAAGAATTTCTATGTTTTATATTTATTATTATTATTATTATTATTATTATTATTATTTAGTCTTTTATTATTATGATGACGTAAACATTTTCTATCTGGTCACCTTTGGTAACAGCTTTTGTATTGTTTAGTGAGTCATCAATTTTTTCCAGCTTTCACAAAAACATTCCGCCCGGGTCTTTCATAACATTTAAACGCACTTTTATCGTCACACTATTTTATAATAACTACCGACTTCGTCACATCAAGTTAGTAAAAATAAGTAAAAAGTTATTCAGAACTTCAAAATTGAAATAAAAAATTAATACTTCCGAGAAACTTTAAAACAACGAGTCATTGTTGAGAGGAAGAAGATATCAAATTGGTAAGGATGGGTCGGCCGAAGAAATGTCAAGATGCTCCAAGTGCCACTGAATCACGTAGGAGATCTGCAGATAGTCTAACCTGGAAGGAACATTTTGTGGGCCGCCTCAAGACTTTCCTCTTGTTCTCCCTGGATAATGGGCTGTGCATAGGACTTGCCATACTACATGACCTCACGTGGTTTTCATCGTACAACATTCTTTATCAGGTATGCGTGAGATTTAAACGGTTGCAACAACATACAAACACATTCATAACCGTCTAGTAGGTGACTGCATTCCTTCAATGGAATGCGTTCATTTGTCTTTTTACTATTTTGAACGGGCTTGTTTTGTGCCGGCTCTTAATAAGTTATTAATAATTGTGAGAAAAAGGTATATGATCGCAACATGAAAAAGACAAAACTAAGTGATATCTGTGAATGTTTGAAACTTTATAAAAGAAATCTGTTTCAGAGTTTAAAACTTTGCAACTGGCATCAAAATTGTAAAATAATTATTCATACGTTTTCAAATGTTTCATGAACTTCATTGCAAATAAAACAGGATCAGCCGAGCCAAGCGTCGTTACTCGATTATTTCCTAAAGAACTTCATGTTGTTAGTGGTCAGTCAGTTCGTCCTGCCAAACGAGCAGGTTATCAGCACACTAGCCGGATACTCCTTCCTCCTCTCATGGCTGGCCATCTCGCAGAACCTTCCCAACATCGATTCCAGTGGCGACGCGTCGAAAATCTTCATGGAGCACGTCAAGTGTTCGCTCAATTTGTTTCAAAAGTTGTTCATTTTTAAGACGGTCAAAAGCGTTATGCGTAGAATCGCATAGGAATGTTGCTTAGAATCGCATAGGAATGTTGCGTAGAATCGCATAGGAATGTTGCTTAGAATCGGATAGGAAGGTTTTGAGTTGGGTCCCACTCGGGCAATGTCCATCATGTTTTGTTTGTTGATTTAGAAAAATCTAAGACAATTTCTGAATATAGTAATCAACTTGGTTGTTTGAATGATTTTTTTGTGAGTTTTATTATCATCTAGTTTACTATAATGCTAACATCACTAATTAAATGTGATTTTTGTTAAAATTTATTAATGACGCTCAAATTTTCATAACCAACAAATAAATGAAAAAAGTTGAAGCGTTGAAAGATTCATAATAGAAAATCATCGAAACTTGTACGATTCTCAGCTGTTCGGTTTCGTTTTCATTCTTTAATGCAAACATAACACCGAAAATAAATTTTATTTCAAATTCTAATTTTACAAATAAAATAAAATTAAACATGAAAATTCTGAAAGAGGAATAACGCAGTAAATGAACCACCACACCACCCCAAAACTTTCGTATGCTAAGATTCATGTAGGTTGATTTTGCACTTCGGACACGCTACGCCGTGGATTCATCCGAATATTTATTTAAAAATACACATTGAAAAATGTTGTTACTCGCAACACTTATAAAATATTTTAAAATTTCGTGAACTGAGATTTGAACGATGGCAGTGGTTTTAAAAATGAATTTTATAAAAGGAGACATTTGCATTGATTGGGTGAATTGGTGAAATAATAAAAAAATCAAATTGATTTCGTCAAAAAGACTGGAACTTTTTGTGAAAGTAATAAGCTGTTATTGAAGAAGCAGTGCTTAAACATTTCTTTTATTTCAACGAACAAATATTGAAAAATTTGAACAATATTTAAAAATGAAATCTAAAATATTTATTAATTGTTCACCTATTATATTTTCTTTCTTTCCAGAGAACGAAAGCAAGGGCGGGTAGGAAACAAACAATGAGCGGGCGATGAACGTCAAATAACTATCGCCACTCGTGTCGCTCAGCCCATCTGATAAATGTTATTTTTTCTTGTAATAATAATCAATATAGAAAAATTGACAATCAAAGTTTAATACAAATTTTGAAATAACGTGGCCAACAAATGTGTTGAAATGAGCAAATTGCTTCACAATCGGCCTTATCTTCTTTCGGATAAAATTTAAAAAATGAGAATCATCATTAGATAGAAAGTGTACAAGAAAGGAAATAAGTTCATATTCTGCAATTTTTCAAGTGTAGAACATTTGAATCTAAAAACATTTTCCACTCTTGCAGAGTTCAAATTTACTTCCATTCAGTTATGTAGCCCATTTAGCATATTAAAACATATATACAGTTCAATTTTTATACTAATTAACATCTTAATACTTAATTGAATAAAGAAAAATTTAATTTATTTCATTCACTGCAAAATCAGATATGAATCAACATCTGCTATAACTACCAGAGAATTGAACGTACCTGGAAATCCGCAGATAGCCTTTGTTTCGGTGTCTGAATTTTCCTTGTGATAAATTACAGGCAATTAGTGGCTTTTGCGGCTGCTAGTTTCATTTCCCCATCTATTTTTTTATGTGGGAGTGCACCAGCACCCCACATAGCCCTATATTTTTTGTAGAATGTCTCTGCATGTCTGTATACGTGTGTGCATGTATGTAACCATGTATATGTATGTTTGTTGTATGTTTGTTCACACATAAAGGTTAAAAGGTTAAAGGTTTCTCTCTCTCTTTTGCGTTTCCTTTAGAGGTTTCAACGACAAACACACACAGCGTATATGAATACGCGTGCAAACCACGCATCATGCACATCGCATATGATGGGCGGGATCTCTTTGTATTCGAACCCAGTTAATGCAATAGGAAGACCAGGCGCTTTTAACCATTGAGCCATCACACCACCCTAGCTATATAGGTGCTTTTAAGTTATAAAACTGCAACACAACACTTTATCAAATCAAATCAAATTTATTCATTCAGTCAATCGAAAATGAATTATGGAAATGATTTGGAGATCCAAAGAGTTAATATTGTTTTCATAATTTAAAATTAGAACCAATTCAATATTAATATGATCTCAATTAAAATTAAATAAAAAAAAACAAACAAAACAAATTAATAATAAAAATAATAAAAACAACAAATAACAATAAAAATAATAAATAATGATAATGATAATAGTTGTACAAGGCACAAACGATCAAGGCCTATGAGTGAGTGAGAGAGTGAGTGAGTCATCGGACAACATCGCGAAATGATAAACAAACATTACATAAATCTAGTTTCAGACCATTCATTTTTATTTTTTTTATTTTACTTTAATTTATTTTTATTTACCAGCAAGTGATGACACTCGGATGAAAAATCCTCATGGTGACACTCGCCAGACACTCGCACATCACAAACAAAATTTCCAAAATTCAGATGGAAAATTTTTCGTACAAGCAAACATTGATCAATCAAATCGCGTTCAATGTAATAATTTAAAAAAATTAATTGCGTGTTCAGCACGTGCTGTGTGTGTTACCCACCATTATGGCAAAAACAGTATACAATGTGTGATACGGTGTTATAAATATTGCTATTGCTATTTTTAATGATGAACTAACCAACAAAAAATATGAATCGCAATAGCAGCAACGCTACATTTTTTCGTTGTTGTTTCTGTTGTTGTATGTCGTTGTTGGTTCTGTTGTTGTTGTTTTTGTTGTTGTGTTGTTGTTGTTGATGATGTTTGTTGATTGTTTTTACGATTTGATTGATGATTGGTCACGTGTTAATTTTATGGACAAGCTTGTCCTCTAACACGTTTGAAATGGAATGGCAACGGCCTGATCTGATGAGATTTGAAATTTTAATCTTCTTAACTTATTTAACTGTGAATATTTGTATAAACAATATACTATCATACATAGTCTAATATATACGGTCAATTTTAGTTATGTTTAAAATGAAAAAACCTTGGTGTAACAATTAAAAAATTGTATATTCATTTTTACACTTCAAGACGATAAATTAACAATATGTAAAATAAACCATGCGTTCAAAACGTCATTTGACAAAAAATTTAAAAACACGCCACACAACAATACACGAACACGCAAACTAAATTAACACACACACACACACACAATTCCACACACGCGCTATTACATACACACACACGCACAAACACACCAAGACGATCTGCAAACAAGGTCATATAAATAGCTACGCCCCGGTAAAACAAATTAAAAAGAAGGCCACTGTACAAAAGAACGGGCTCAGTTACAGCTGAACTCTTTGATTTTATTTGCTTTGCTGTGAGTTGCTTCGAGTCTTGACATTTATAATTTTTGTTGGATTTTCATCAAGGTTTAGTAAGTCGAGTTGGTATATATTTTAAACAACTTTGGAGTGGGTTAATCAGAGTCAGTATGTGGCAAGAATTATATTAACATGACTAACAATAATTAATAATAATAAAAATAATAAGGGTGTTAATATCAAAACAATAACAACTTTATGTATTCTGCTTATTCTTTTAACAGTTATTATATTTAGTGACTTCAACGAGCGACTGACGTACATGAAGGAGTTTTTAAAAAATAAAGGTATATTTGGAAAGGTAAGATGAATTCAAATTAAAATTTCTTATTTGTTATTATTAATATCGTTTTATTTATTTATTATCATTTTTTTATTACTATTATCATTACTATTACACGTATTAACATGATCACGTGACAAAATGTTCAGTTCTCAACTTGTGTGCACATCATGTGATGAAATTTTTAAAGGCAGTTGAGTGAGAGATGAGTTATTCATAAATGTAAGATGTACATTATATATACAATTATTCACATATATAACAACTATATTATATATACTTACAACTATATATATATAAAACAACTATATATATATAAAACAACTATATATATATATATATATATATATATATATATATATATATATATAAACAAACGTTGGTCTATAAATACAAACAGCATGCTAGGAAAAGCTTTTTTAAACACTGATTTTATTTTAGGTTGCAGATATCTTATGACAAAAAATTTAATTTATACAACTTTAAATTGAATAGCATTGAGAAAGTTAGTCAAGGTTTGGTGTCTGTTCATTGCAATTTTTAAATTGTAATTGATTAGATAATATTCGATTAGATATAAATCTCTAGTAATTTTATATAAGCACGAGTTCTGCTATTTTGATTACCAATGAATTTTTATAGATGCATCTGTTGTTGACTCTTTCTATTCATACATTTTAATTTTTATATAAACGTAATTTTTAGTTTGTAAATTTCAAACAAAATCAATTTTTTTAAATGTGACACATAAAAAATTATTCAGCATGTTTTCAATGTGGCGATAAGAAATGTAACTCTAGAGTAATAGAGTTATACTTTGTAATATATTATGTATATATTATTTTTTATATATGCGTGTGTGCGTGCGTGCGTATAGCAAAATAAATTTTCATACGTATTATTAATTGAACGCTTCATCATTTCTTGTTATTGTATTTTTTTACTTTTATAGACGAAATGGATGTCAATTGTTGTCTATCATCGTATAAAAAATAGTATTAAAGTTTTTAACTAATTCGATTTTTCGCATTCTTCGTGAAATAAATTTTTTGTTTATTTATTTATTTTTTAGTTAAAGAAAGGTTATTTAGTTTTGTATTTCTATTTTTTATCGTCAGCTCATTCAAGCTTTTTTGTTCTCTTTTTTTCTCTTTTTATTAAAAATTAAAATAAAAAATTAGCTAAACTTTGATAGCAGGCAATGTTTACAACAAATTTTCAAAAACGAAATTTAAGCTTAATAATTTTTAATCTTGATAAATTTAAGAAATTTTTGTGGATGTTTCACTTTAATAATGCCTTATATTAAAAATTAAAATTAAATTAAAAAACATACTTAATTAAATATTAAATAAAATAGAAATAACCTTTTAGTTTTAAATTTAAAGATGAAAACTAAAACCTTTAGTTGATTAAATTTAAATAAATCCTGTTTTTATGTTTTTACTATTTATACACATTTGTGTTTTTTAATAGAAATAAAATTTTTATGTGCTAAACTATAAATATAAAGCAGCTATTATATTCCTAGCTTGTTCTTTAAAGTCTCGTTTTGTTTTATTTTTTTTTTTCATGGTTTTTAAGTTTTAACTTATCAACTTTTATTCACTTTCGAAATCAGGAAAATAAAGACAAAAGCAAGCTCATCATCCAGATCACTATTCTGATTTCTTTTAAAATTTTAAATGACATGATAAATAACTAATTAAATTGAAAATCTACAGGAAGGCTGTTTATAAAAATTTATTAATAAAATAATAAATCATTGTTAAGACAATATAATGAAACTTAGATTAATCATTGAAAAGTGCAACGTTGAAATTTCTAATGTAAAGTTAAAGGAGGGTTACATTCCTTCTATTTTTGAGTACACATGTGCAGGTTGGCAGCCCTCTTTATTATAAATAAATAATTTTATAGTTTTTTTTTACAACGTTGGCCTGTTTGAAAAGATTTAATAATCCAACATTTTTTAACAAATTTTAATTTGAATTATTAGGTGAAATAAAGAGTATCCAAGAGAAGCCGGCAGAGTTTTTGGAGCCAGCGATATGGTTCAAGATACTTTTAATGGATGTCCTGACCATAGATTGCAACATTCGAACTGTTTATTGGACCCCAGTAACACGTTTTGATAGTGTTGATGAAGATCCTGATAAAGTAGCCAATGCAGTTGCTGATGATGTCGATGAATTGAATACTGAGTCAGTTGTATTTGAGGACTTGTATGATGAATCTTTTAAGATGGATGATGAATGTGTGGACTATTTCAACTATCTGGATGAGGTTTATGATGTCCTGCCTTCAATGCTCATCATGTACAGGGATAAAAAAATGACAAAAGAGGAATTTTATAAAAGCCTTATCAAATTAATACACGTGAATGTTCTGCCGAATGTTAGGTTAGGTTTTGAGAACCTAGATTTGTTGAAGAAATGTTTCCACACTTACACAAACTACATGAAGCGGTGGAACAATCTCATTGGTAATAAAACTAGTCAGTTGTCAGAATTGAAAGCTACGAAATTTAGAGAGAGAAAAAAGTTTCTTCAACGTATAAATTCTACCAAGGATATTAAGATTTACGATAAATTATTAAACTTGCTTGAAGTTGAGTACAAGAAAGATCTGGAGAGAGCATCCTATGATTTTAAAAAGTTGCATGAGGATTATATGAGGTCTGTGTGTGATGCTGTGTGCAAAGACACCACCGCAAAATTGTCGAAAGCAGTTGAATCAAGGAAAGAAGAGATCATCAGTATGAATAATGTTTTGGACAACATTAGAAGATTGAAGAGTAGATCAAGTTTCTCTAAAATGTTATATCGTCTTAACTCACCTGCAAGAGATGATGAGACAATGCAAAACATGTACCTTACAATGAAAGAAGCTGAAGATATCTTGCAGAAGAAGATTTACACATTCATGGACAAAAAATTGATGCTTCTGACTGTCTATGAGAATATGAGGAATGTCATTCAGGAGTTGATGGAGGGCTACGAAAGTTATGGAGTTGATTTCGACAGGAAGAGTCGAATGAAATCAAATATATTGGCTGAAACGTCCACCAGTCTTCACTGGAAGTCTCTGCCTGAACTGGTCAACATCATCCTCTGTAATGCGCAACATGACATCACTAAGGATCATAATGCAGTAGTCGAAAAGGTGAGACATATTTTAATGGAAACATTGAAAAAGTTTAACTCCCAAAGCCAGTACAATTCCATTGTGCCTAAGTTGATGAACAAGCATGCTACAGTGGTTGAATCAGTGCTGAAGAAAGAATTGAATGAATGCACAAGTGATGTTGGCAACAGTTGCTGCAACATTGTCAAACATAATAGCAATGTTGACAACAGAGATCTGTACCATAATAATAATAATAATAATGAATCAAGTTCAGTCAGTTTGAATAAATATATATTTTCAGCAACTGCAGATGATTCTCTAACGGATAGTTATGAAACACTTCATCTCACAAGATCACCCAGCTTGAATAATTTGTTGCATTCACTTGACAGAGCCAAGATTTGTAGATGCAACTCTGTAACCTCATCTGGGAAATTTTCTGAAATAGGTGATAGAACAGAAAAGTTTAAGAGAAGCCTCATGAGTGTGCCTTCATTCAAAAGTTACCTAGAGGAAGAATTTGTGAAGAATGATGATTTCAGTTACCTCGTTGAAACCATCCAGCAAGTAAAACCCATGATTGCTGATCACTTCAAATCCATTTGCACTAAACTCACTGTGGAGATTGACAAATCTTATGATCATCAAAATTTCAGAAAAATTTGGGTGATATATGAAAATTATTTTTACGAGAACATATTGAGTTTGATATTAGAACTGTACAGGGCTCAATTTGCTTCAAAGACGGAAGTTCTAACAGACTGGATCTTTAAAATGACATTGAACGACCTGGACATGGCCGACACAAAAACTCTCCAACTCTTGCTTGTTCCTCAGAATGATTCATACGAAGCATTTTATTGTCAAAGCATACTTGCAGGCAGCAACTATGCTAACGTTTCCAACGTGGCAGATAGTCCTGCAGGCTCCACTGGTTCTCTCATCAATGCAATTATCGATGGCTTGACAACTGAGGAAGATGTATTTTACGACGATCATCAAGCAGATAGTTATGAAAAACATGTCAAAGCCAACGTGTGCAAGAAACTGAAGAATGTTGCGACGGCAGTTGATAAAGTGTTGAAGATCAAGATGAAAGCAAAAATAAGAAATAAGGACAGTGGTTTTGAATTATCTGGACAGATGAACAATGAAGAAGTCGACGACGACGACATTAACGCAGGCCTCACTCATCATAAAGTGAAACCGCAATGGGAGAACCAATTATCCAGCACATCTTTAAAACCGCTGACATTTGATATAGACAAATACATTTCAGAATCCAGTTCTCGAAGCATAAGAATGAAACCCATAGTTATGAACAGGTTCTTGAAGGCTTACTCACACCTTAAAATTGCATTGTCTGCATCGACACCTCTCGTGAAAACACATCATCTCTGCAGATGCTTGAAAGAGGTGAGCAATCAGATGATCAAACTCTACAGGGAAGTGTACCGCACAGATCTGATGGTCTGCAATGATGAACTGATGGATGGCCTCATCGTACTGATCTGCAACCTCGAGAACAAAGAAATCGTTTCAGACTTGTATGTTCAGTTGCAGTTGATGACCGACACGTTGGCCGATTTGTTTGAAGCTGGTGAGTATCGTTTCGCGCTCGTCATGTTCCAAGGAGTCTGTCAGTATTTGCAAGATAAGACCATGATGAAGAAGAATAGATTGAACTCAACATCTTAGGGCTGAAGTATTTAGTCGTTCATTCTTTAAATCAGGGTAATCGTGACCTGTTCATGTAACCATTCGTCACCTCTTTCCAATTCTATCTACGCTCCCTAATGTACGTGGAGTTTGTTTGTAAAACATACTTTTATTACGTTTCTTATTTATTTATTTATTTGTTTGTTTCTACTTCACTGACTGTTTCATATATGATACAACATGCCTCACATATGCACATATAGTCTTTACTTACTACGTGTAAAAACTTTTTACTGTGATGTAATTACGTCATTTTGTGTATATCCTGATTAAAAAACTGACCTTCAAAATAGGCAATTTTAATATTAATTTTATTAAAATTATTTATTAAAAGTTAATCTATATTAAGAAAGATTATGTGCATTTGACGAACATTTTAAATATTTTTTACTTTGGTTTCATATAATGATGATGACGACGGTGATATTTGCATGTGTGCCTGCGCATCGATGTTTGCATATATGCATGTATGTTTATATAGGTGCATGTATGTGCGTCTATGCGTGTATATATGCAGGTATGTATGCTTGTATATGTGTGTATGTTTGCTACATCCATGTGTGTGTGTTTGTGTGCCCGTGTGTGTGTGTGTGTGTGCCTGTCACGTATCAATTGATTTTCCTCTGTACTCCATTCAATGTGTTTCAATGAGTTTGATAGTTGTATACATTGTTATATATTAACCGTCTTTACCTACAAGTTTTCTAGTTGAATAATTATGTTCTATTTTTCATATTAAGACTTTAAGTTTAGTGTTTAGTCATTCAATTTTTCTCAATCATTTATTCATTTCTTTCATTCATTCATTTAAACGCACACTTATATATGTATATGTATTTATTTATTTATTAATTAGTTGTTCTATTTTCCATCTTCCTTGTAGTTTCATTTCATTTTGCTTTTTTTCCAATAATAATATGTAAATTAAGAGATTTAGGGATTGATATTTTCATTTTAAAATTCATTTAACAACTACATCAATATAATAAATCACAACTACATTACTCATTTTTATATTGTATACAATTTCGTGAGTGTTGTTAGCTTACAGCTACTAAGATTCTATTCAAAATTATATCTCTATATATGAAAAAATGGTTCACAGTTTTTAATGAAGCGCTGAGTGTCATGTTATAGTCAGTAATCTAACACTAAGTAACAGGGGATGATGATATAAGAAATACTAATATATGAGATACTCGTTAAAGGTAATGAATAGGTAATGGATTTTTATAATTACTCTAATTAAGCGAGATGCCAGTTGGTTGCGTTACGTTGTAATTACTCTAGTTTCTCATTTGTCATTTTAATTGTCCACTTAAATGGATTTTTTTATATTTTTCTGTTTAATTATTATCATTTATCCGCACTCTTATCTCTCACTTTCTCTCTTTTTCTCTCTCTCTCTCTCTCTCTCTCACTTTCTCTCTCTAATTGCTACTAAATCTGCAATGCAGTTGTTCTTGCTCTTTTTTATCTATTTTAAAAAACATCTAATGTTTTTCATAACTGTTTATTACAAGGTGTATTAGAAGTATTCTTTCTCAAAAATATGTTTGTATGTATTTTTCTTTGTCCGTGCGTGTGTGTGCGCGCGCGCGCGCGTGTGTGTACGTGTGTTTGTCTCTGTGAAATGACCTCATATGAATAAATGTAGGCGTTTGGTTTATTTAACATAGAGGGCGATAGGTAGGCGTTCGTTTGTTTACAACCTGTGCTAATTGGCATTTGCATATTTCTAATGATGGGTTATAATAGTTTGTTTGCTGGTGTCAATTTATGTAACATACTCTTTTTGTTCTTCGTAAGGCATCTCTTCATTTTATTTTCATTATTTCTATAGAGATTTGTAACATTTTAATCTATGCAGTGCTACACCATGTTTTATTATTATTTTATTACAGTTTTTAGTAAAATAATTGATGTTTTCGCAGCTCATTGCTTTCACAGTTTTACAATTATACTTGTGTGTGTTTGTGCGAACTACGATATTTCACGAAAGACAAGGCTAGCAAATGGCACAGGTAGTTGGTTGTATTAATAAACATCGGTAATTACGTTGCATCGTTTTGCATTCGGTTTTAATTGATGATATCCTCTACAATTTTCATCTTTTCTGGCTTTTTCTTCTTTCATCATGGTAAATTATGAATGAGTAAAACATTTTATTGTCGTCAATTGATTAAATGTTAGATTAATTAATTAATATTAATTAATTGGGTGTTTATTTAGCTCAATGCTTAATTAATTGTTAATTAAATTTTATATTGGGTTATTTTTTCATAACAAAATTAATATTCCGTAATTGGGGTTGAATTTAATTTTGGTTTGCCGTTAAGTTTCTGAGTTCTAAAACAATAAGAGTTTTTATGATTTTTGATATTTCACTTTACTATAATACTATATAATTATGTCGATTTGATTTAATCAAATGAGTGAACACGTGATGAATTTTGTTAAAAAAACTCCCCTAATATGTTCTTAATTGCCCTATGCTTAGCTGGTGATGATGTGATGCACTGTGTATGTTTGCCATGTCAGGTCTGTTTACGACGTTTTTTTACGTTACCGTTTTATGATTCATTGTTTCTCCGTAGCTTGTTTGGTAGAGAGGTTTAATTAATCTGTGTATATTAAGTCATAACTCTCTCTCTCCCTGTGTGGTGTGTGTGTGTTTGCTATGTTTTTTCATGTTCATTATTTATTAATTCATTCAGACCTTTATTTAAATTGTTACCTTTACCTTAAGTGTGTTTATCAACATGACTACTAACTTATCAAGTTTGTATTAATATGACCTGAGTAAAATATAATATATTATCTACATTAACGATTAATTGTAATATAAATTATTTGTTAGTTTGCAACGAACATCGTCGTGTTTTGGTCTGTTAAATTCATTTGTATAATGTAATTGATTTTTTACAACATTTTTTGACTGATAAGTGAATGATTTATCAAATTCAGTGCCTTGTTTGATCGTACAATTTGATAAAATTATTCATTTGTATATTTTTATAAGTAAATTTTTTGTTGTAATTTTTTTGGACTCTGGCCATTTTGAATTTTTATATTAAAACGCTAGCACTTATTTTTGATATTACTCATATAGCAAATAATTTGTGCGGAAAATATTTTTTAAAGCAACTTTCGCCTTCTTAATTAAATTTTTTAATATTCATATTATGTTTCGAGACAAACAAATTGGAATAATATTAAAATATGAAAGGACATAGAAAAGTTGTTTAATTATATAATGAAATCCATAGATGTTTCTTGATTAATTTATAAAACGTGCAACAAATTATAAAATAAGAGTTAATAAAATTGATGGCTCATTTCGACTCGATGATTGTAATAAAAATCTATGTTGATCGTAAATCTGCCAACAGCCATCTTGAATTCTTTTACAGTTTCAACTTCGACAATAGCTGGGGCATGTTTGTTTCATGGAGGCACTGTTCGAGGAATATTTTTTTGCGTTCGCATTAGATGCACTGACAAGAAGTTTGTATTGATGTCCTCTGGTTTGTGAATCCACATGGGTTTTCATTAATGGGAAAAATTTATTCTCGCTAACTAAAATTTTGAAAATTTTACTTAGGTTTCTGCGCAATAGTTGATATAATGATTTGAGCATGCGTTATATTGTTAATTATGCTGGTAGTTTTTTAATAGGTTCATGTACTACACAAACTCCTGAGCACGAATATGAATAATTTGGTAATGGGAATTCCGACATTTTTGATAAATAGTATCTTGAATCGACCGAATGGATATCATTATGTGTTTCTGAACTCGCACTGCACAGAATCTTTTGGAATGTGGCACTGATATAGTGAATTAAGCTAGTAGTTTTTTACTAGATTCATATACATGGATATATATATATATGTATAATACCTTATAGTATATATATATATAGTTGGGTAGTTCTATAAAAGTCGCTATACAAGTTTTCTTATAATAATATATATAATACCTTATAGTGTATATAATATAGTATCTTCTCAGAGCATGAAAATGTATAATTTAATAATGAAAATCTCGACATATTTGTTTTTATAGTATCTTGAATCGACTGAACACAGTATAGCTCAATTTATTTTCTCAGTTCCGCGTTGATTTAGTTAATTAGGCTAGTAGTTTTTTACTAGATTTAGGTTCATGTAATGCTAAATATCCTGAGAATGAAAATGTATAATTTGGTAATAAAAATCCAAATATTTTTCTATATAATAACATAAATCTACCGAAAAGTTGTCATTATGTGACATTGAACACGCACTACATTTTGATTATTTTTTTAATTTTGTGCTGATATATTGAATTAAGCTTGTAGTTTTAATAAATATAAATAGAACATAATCTTCTAAACATAAAAATGTTTAACTTGATAATGGAAATCCCTACGTTTGTGAAATATAGTACCTTGGATCGACCGAATAGTTATCGTTATTTAACAAGAACACACAATGTAATTCAACTTTTTTAATATAGTATTGAATTGGCATAGTAAATTGAGCTGGTAATTTTACATCAGAACATAATCTCCTGGGCACGAAAATGTTTAATGTGATCGTGGAGACCCTGTTAAGTTAACAACTTCGCTTTGGGGATCATATTTGCACAAACATAATTTCTTCCGGTGCCCCGAATAATGGAAATTTAGAAAAGTTTAAAGAAATCTTGCTTGTTTATTTTCTTTGATATAATTTTGAGCAACATTTTGTGGTTTATTGTAATAAAAAATCGAAGTTCGAGGTTTTCTCGATGAAAGTTAGGCCATGAGTTGCAAATTAAATTCCATTCATGGGGAAATTTTTCAAAAAAAATTAGTTTAATAAATTCCGAATTACCGAATTTAGTATCGACCTCTGTTTTTACGGCTTGTTCCGCCCATATTAAACATCCGGTCATTAACTAACGCCACCATATTCGTTGAACGAGAAGCTCGTTGTCCCCACGACGCAGAAGCAAAGCTGAAAATTTAGTTAGATTCCGTCAGGAAAGTAATCCGGCTCTTCATTTACTTACAACGTATACAAGTATGTATGTTGTAGGTTCTGCATTAGAATCTTTTTAAAATGTTTCCTATAAGTTAAAAAAAAACTAGCATTTTATTCACTTATTTTATTCACTTATTTTATTCACTTATTATAAAATAAATGAATCAGGCTTTTGTCATGTCACTCACATGCTTGTGTTTGTTTATCAACATTTTTGTAATAAAACTCAAGATGCTGCTTTGTTTGAATTTTCATAGGAAATGTCAAACTATGTGTTAGAATGGCCTGGCTTGGGAAGTGTTCCGTTTGTAATCATTGATCCTGCCACCAAAATGATGTTCAACAATGACAAACCATTGCCGGTCGATCAGCAAAGTTTAGATGTATTTGAAAATAAATATGTCAAACTATCATCTATATTAGATTTGATATCAGAGCACGTTCAACAAGAAGCTCAATGGATGTTAAAAGAATTACTTGATCGATTTAATGTTCAGAAATTAGTTACATCATCAACATCTCAAAATTCTACAACCTATGTACCAATTACTACACTGCTTGCACTGATTATGGTCTGGCCGTGTTGTAAAGTTTTTCAATCGGTCACAAAATCAGTTTATAATTATTTGAATGCATTTTCCGACTCCATCTGTCTCGAGTGTGGATGGGCACAGAGGGAATGCCATTGCAACAAACAAAAAAATAGTTTATTTCCATCTGTTCTAGTTGGCTATGGAATAAAGAAAATTGAGAGAGGTAGTCAGACAATAGAAAATAAGCAGACGTCAAATACAAATAATGTACACAGCAATGTTAATGTTTCTTCCAAACAACAACAGCCACAAAATATTTCATCAAATTTTGCATATCTGCTACCACAGTCAGTTGTCTTACCACCTCCCATTAATTGGCATATCGTTCAACCTCCACTGATGACACAGCAGTCTGTAACTTTTCTACCAAATGATGTTTGGAACAATAGATTAAATCAAAATCATTTAAATGAGTCTTTGCAACCACTAATGCTACAAAATATTGCAACTGCAACACCTGGCCTCATTAATACACACAACAATTCCATGTTTTATCCTTCCATGTTACCTTCCAGCAACATACAATCAAACATGCCTGTAGTTAATAATTCTAATATAGCTGAACCTAGCACTGAAGAAAAGTCAGATGCAACAAAATTGATAAATCATGTCAGACCACTCTGCAATATAAGCAATCGAAGTGCTTCAACACCTTCACCTCCGCCGTCCATTAGTAGAAATAATTCATTTGCTGTCAACACGTCCAAACATGGTTTTAGTCACAAACAGTCTACATTCAAAAAAAGAAAAATTGATTGTGTTGATGGTGAATTTGCCAAATCTTCAAAACTGATGAATAAAAATAAAAGGTTGAAAATTGACAGAAAGGATAGGTTAGATGCTCTGAATTATTTAAATACAATAAAAATTGACTCAAAATCTAATAAGAGTGATAGCGCACCACCGTTTCGGCCAAAACCATTTAGAATTGAAGCAGAAAAAAATGACAAAGATTCCAATAAAAAGACTGTAAAGTTATGGAAACTAATTGAAGATTATTGCATAAACAATGATGATGAATTTTTTGACTTTGATGAAAATTTACTATCTAATGATAACTCAAGTAAATCTAAAAATAATCATAAACCACTTGAAAATGATGAGGAGGAGGAAGAGGATGAATGTCATCTCAAAATTGATGAGACCGGAGATTCGCGTGGTTGTGAAATGACAAAGAAAGGTGGCAAGATGGGGAAGAATTGTAAAGCTTCAAATGTAAAAAAAATATATGCCATGTTCCAATATATCCCAACAGGAGAGCACATATTCAGGTAGATGGTTCAATCTTTCTTTTTCATTCCAATATATATCTCTGTGTTGTTAATTCCATAATTTTTATTTAAAAATTGAATGATAAATTTACTTGAGATCTTCAAACCACAAATGTTTTTTTAAAAATATGCTTCAAATAGCTGAAGATGTGAACTATGCTCTATAGAGTCTGTGCCAGTTGATTATAGAAATCTAAAAAAGCTTAATTAGCTTCATACTGTAATTAGTGCTCCAATTTAATTGCCTTAATAATAAGCTAGAAAATATGTTTGAAGCAGAATTTAAATTACATGACAACATTTATGATTCTTGGCATTTATTTATTCAATGATTTATAATAACTTGCTAATGAATGATAGGTGCACAGTATCAAAATGTGGCCAGTGTTTTGATACTGAGAGGTCAGCAATTCTACATTGCTATGCACATGTCAGCAATGAACATCAAACAACTAGATCACATCCTCTCAACAATGATGACCCAATGAAGAATCGTCATGACAACAATGTTGCAAACACAAACAATCGTCTTGGAGAAAACGTGACAGCTTCTAGTATTTCAAGTGGCGGTGTTAATGAACAGTCAGCATCAAACATCAACAACAGTCATTATTATTGCCACAAATGTGATTTTAAAGTTCCATTCTTCCACTGGTTTGATCTACTAAGACATTTCCGAATGAAACATGGACTTAGGCTATCTGACAAATGTAACTCATGTAAATATTGTGGTTTGAGTTTTGATTGCTACGACCAGCTGATGTTACACATGGAGTTTCATTACAGCAATAGATACAAATGCATACACTGTGGTATTCTTCTTCTTACTTGGAAGCAGGTTTCACTTTTGAAATTTTACGAGACTATTTTATTAGGCTCACAATTGCTTTCTTATGTGATGCTGGTGCTGTATTGGGAGATTAAGCTTATAACAAACCACATTCTGTTCATTTGTGACATATTTTCAAATGCACAACTAGTTTTTTATATATCATTCCAAAAATATGTTTTTTTTTTGTAAAATTCATCTTTAAACAGTATGAGACATTTTGGAAAATTATAATTTTGTAAGTAGTGGAATTGAATTCATTAAAATACTTTTTTTATTGTTGCATCAAATGACATGTGCCCTTTCTTCATTGAAAATCAGTGTTGATTTTGATGATTGCTCATTGCTTTGTGACATTTTTCAAGGTTCAAAGACATCTTGAAATGTGTGTCAATCGCTCAAAAAGATCGTCATCATCTGTTAATCTTGGCTGTCCGTATTGCACATTTGTTTTTCATAAGAAAAATATCAGGTTAAACTTTTCTGCAAGCAATTTGAAGTTTTAGATAAAAAAAATTTTTAGCAGTGTTATTTTGGTTTTTATTTTTCTGCTGTAATTTTGCATTCCTGTTTCTAAAAATCTCCTAAAGGTACTACTCACTTACAAGCAATTGCGTTCATTTATGATTCCTCACAAAGTTTTTAATATTGCTATATTTTTTACTATTCACCAATGTAATAATATTTAGCGTGTCATGTCATAGTATTTATATTTAATTTATTTTGATGTATTGTTTCCTGGGTATGTTTTGAAAGAAAGAAAACATTCATTGAAGTAACTGTGAATAGTAAGGAAGTAGATGTAGTTGAAGTCTTGGATAAACCATTTCGGCATTGATCAAAGTTCAATTTTATGACTCATTTTAGTGGCTGTCTTGTGCTCTAGCTAGGAATAATGGATATTTAATTAAGAAGACTCGCATGAACTGTATTAATATATGATCTACTAAAACATACCTGAATGAAATATGGACTTAGGCTTCCTGACAACTACGCCAGTTAATTAGTAAATTTCATTAATTATCAGAAAAGGCTGACTTTATGTACGGTGCGATTCTGCCATATTAAAAAATTATTCTGAAAATTAGGTAAAAAATTAATTGGACTAGTCAGAGAGGAGCATGAGTTGAGTTGAAACTAATCTTGCTAGAGCTAAGAAGGGTTTCAATCTGACCAGATAGAATTGCCTGTTCTTATATAACAAAAGTTTCTAAAATCACACTTAAAATACTTATACAGTCTGTTAGAGACATTCAAACATTCTGGCTTTTTAGAAATTATGGTAACAGTAAACTTACTTTAATTTACTGTATATATGTCATATTATTATTATTCACGTGCTTAAACAACTTATTTTTTAATTGCCCATAGGAATCTGCATACCCTGTCGCACAGTGATGTTGGGCTGTCTTGTGCAATATGTGAAAATGATGTGGCATGGGCTGATTGGAAGTCGCTGAGGAAGCACTATCAACAAAAACATTCTAAAGTTCTACTTGAAAAAATAACACCACACAGGTTCATTTGCTTACCTATCTCACTTTCTCTTAAATACTTTTACTTTTTTTTGTGGCAGAAATTTTTTAAAAGATAATTTTTTATTATGATGGCAAATTAAAACAGCTTTTTGATTAATTATAATCTACAATTTGATTGATTCAGACGGGATCTGCCAATAAAACAAAAACCGCCAAAGTGCAAGATATGTAATGTAGAGTTTAAAAGTTTTGACCTCTATTCAAACCACATGCATAGGGCACACGACTTTGTGCCTTACACTCTTGTAGAATGCAAGCAGTGTGAGAGGCTGTTTAGGACAGAGAAATCATATGAGTGGCACGTGAAACATGTGCATGTACAGGAAATTTCATGTGAGAAATGCTCTTATGTTACAACTTCCAAGTCACTTCTCAAGTTGGTTCCTTAGTTTCTCTATTTGATCACCCAAAAATCATGACTACAATTTGTTGATAAGCATTATTTTGTGAACACAGTGATAATGGCAAGAATATTGAATTTAGCAGCTTTTTAGCATTGTTTTTTTTACTTCGGTTTATATAAAAGAGCTTTGACTAATATTGTAGCAAGTAAAAGAAGAGGCAACTGTAACATTATGTTACTTTATCTTCATATATTGCAAGGCATATTTAAAATTTTAGATTCTTTTAGCATTTGAACTGTGTTTGTTATTTTATGTTATCATTTGTATTTAAATTTTTTTTGGTCTAGAAACTCCTAAAAAATTGATATTACTGCTGTTATTATATTAAGGAATTTTATAAGTTTCCGCAATTTAGTAAGATTTGTATGTATTGTTGTGGCATCGTGAATAAAGAATGGAAATTCATCTGTTCTGACCAGTAGCCTGAATGACAGCCATTATAAATTACTTATGCAGATTGCATATGACCCAGAAGCATGGTGATAAACAGCACACATGCAGTGAGTGTGAAAAAAGTTTCACATACTTTCAACAATTGCGAGTGCACATGGCACACCATGCCAGGAAGTCCATATTTGCATGTCAAGATTGCGACATGGAGTTTAACAGGAATTCAGATCTTCGTGCTCACCAACAACAGGAGCACTTGGAAAGTTACGAAAAGGCACCTGAGAACTGTCCTGAATGTGAATTCAGATGCTTCTCTAGGTTTCTTTCACTCTCAAATTTTTTTTTATCCATCATTTTTTAAATATAAAATTGCTGATAATATTTATTTATTCATCTTCATTACTTTTGCAACAGGCAAACTTTGAATGTTCACATAAGAAAGAACCATCAGGATACTATGCGTAGTAATTCTATTGATGAATCTGAAGACTCCATGCCAGGCACGAGATCTTCATTTGAAAGCCATCAGAGCAACCACAGAGCTCCGACACCTCCCAACGTATCACAGCCAGCTCAGTCGGCTGATTCTAAAGATGTTTCAAGTAAAAAGTCGTCGCTCAGTGCAGCTCTTGATATTACCTCTGTATCCAAGAGAGGTCGCAAGAGAAAGATGAGTTCAAAGCTCGAATGGGAAACAATGGAGAGTGAGTACAGTGGAGATGAGAGGAAGGAGAAGAAGAAGGTTGAAAAGGTGCAGAAAGATGTCGATGATAAAATGAGGAAACTTCGAAAATCAACCTGTGCAAGGACAAGAAATTTTAATGATCACAAAGCAGATAAAAATTCATCCAAGTTCGATGGCGGATTCACATTCAATCACGAGAGAAGTCTGACATTGGATAATATGTCGGTGGATGATTTGAAAGCGGTTTCTTCACCATCTACAGCATCTGTTAATGATGAGGGGTCGGGATTGGTACCGGCAGATGCTCTCAACTACTATCCATACCTCGATCATTCTTATTTCAAGTTTGATACAACTACAGTAGGTTTAGATAATCAGCTGTCATCTTCATCGTCTACAACGGTCGTTGCAAAATTTGCTTCTTCGAGTGATACAAAGTTGAGACCTTCCAACTCATCAAACGTTGTTAATTCTGAATCATGCAATCAAATATCGCAGGCTTCTGGTATGACGAACTTTTCGTATCGAACGACAAGAAGGCAAGTGGCACTAGCATCTTCAAATGATGCAACTCGACTGTCAAATTGTTACTCGCCTCCTGATATTGTATCCTCTATTGTTCCTGTTCAATCTCTGAAGGTCACTGATCAGCCTGCTGATCTGACCAGTGAAATGATTGATGTGGACTTCACAGCTGAGAGTGAGATGATCAAAAGCGCAGGAGGTCACTGTCTTATTAAGGATGTCCTGAAATCATCTTTTCCTATTCAGTCTGCAAGTCGTTGTCTCACGTTTGATGATAATGAATGTGATGAATATGGCTTTGTTGATGAAATGCCATGTACATTAATTGATCTAAATGGTATTGGTCTCTGTGATGATGACCTCAACATGTTCAAGGGTGGAATTGTTATTGAAAAAGAAGAATCTGCGGACAGAAGTTCCATCTTGCAAAAGTTGAACTCCTACTTCCCTGCCAAAGAATATGACAACTGGGCAATCCTAGCATCTGCTCCTGATATTTCATTTTCTTCAAACAATAGCTTTGTCGACACCTCCCACCTTGCCAACACATCATCACATGACATCTCCATTGTAACGCAATGTATATCTACGCCCAAGTCCAACTCATCTCGTTTTGTCGGGTTGAACGACTGCACTCCAGGAAAGATGGGGCGATCGAGTAGGCTCCAGTTGACTACCAGGTTCACTGAAAATCACGTTGAAAGTTTAGTTGGCACTGCAATGCTGAACAATCATTCTGAGGAAAGAGATGAACATGATGGGATGGATGTGTCTAATGCTAATGACGATTCTTCAAACCACTGCCCTGATCTAGATGATGTTGATACTTCGGGGCTCCTCTCCATTTCTGGATCTGGATCCAACAACAGTCTAGATTTTTATTTGAATTAAAAAGCCACTTTCTTTCATTCTCGGTCAAACTTTTCTTTTTTGTACAAAACGTGTACAATGATGTTATTATGTTCTATCGTTGTTTGTTTCCATTTGTTGAATGATAATTAAATAAATCGATGAACATTTTGTTCGAAACGCAGTTTTTCATTATACCATTCATTGTTAAGAACGATGTACATAACTGAACTGTCTGTTGGATATTGTGGTCTTTAGTGTATGTCAAGTCGGCTCTTTAATTAATTTAATTGAATAATAAATTGCTCTTTTCAGATGGTTATGTATCATTTTGTTAGCTTATTGCGCACGTTTGACCTGTCTGACTGGCTAGCTGGTTAAATTTCGCGATATTTTATATCATATTAATTTTCTAACTTGATCCTAACAATTTTTAAATCGCAAGTTTAGTTAGCATTTACCATAGGTTTGTTTGTGTTGCATCTTTCATATTTCGCGGATAGAATGGTGGTCGTCATACTAACAGCCGTTATAAGCGTATTTGACGTGTTCTTATGTATTGTAATAAATGACTGGTTCTCTCCAATCGTAATTTTTGTCCTTTAAATTAAAGTGTGATGGGATATTTGAATGAATTTTTAATGAATATGAGTATACGCAAAGTTGTTCTGTGTTTGTTTATCCTAAAGGTTTAAACGGAAAACGAATTTGCTCGCAATCCTATTTCAGTTAATTTTAGATTAATTTTTCTTAAATTTGAAATATTCAAAATAGGTCAGGGTCACCAAATTTAGTTGCGCGTTTTTGCAGCATGTGCGGCTTAGTTTGTGTCGACATGTAATGTGCGTGCGTGTGTGTTCTCGTTGAACGTCTAAAACATTGGCAAGCGATTAACATGCAACATGCATCCGGGCCATATTTTATCACGGAAAAAAACAATCAATTATTTTTTTATCGGATCCTAGCTTGCTTATTTATACCCATGCATGCACCGATCATGTACCAAACTTTTAAGAGTATGATGCTGCTTGTATTACATTTACAGTGGTGTGTAACAGATCTCGTCTGAGCTATGTGCGTTACTTTAATATAGTAGTACATCAAATACATACAAAAATGACTAGTGTAAAATTGTAACAACGGCTTAATGGGTATCTGATGTTCGCATGTTATTCATTCTGGTGTGACTGAATTGTGATTGTTCGTGTTGCAGGATTGTTCATGCTGCAGACGCAGTTGATACGGTAACTGCTGGAATGAAATGATTGTCTTAACTTTCAATTATTCAGTGGGCTGTTTCCACGCATGTCTCATGAATATCATCCAACAAATTTGATAATCCGTGGTTCGTACATGGTGCAGTTGAGAGTTGTGACATGGCGTGACATATCGACGTCTTGTATTATCATATTGTATTATTGTAATAATACTTGAACGACGTCATCTGTGTCGTGACGTTGTACGTACCTACTGGACGCTAGATACTGTGTGAACTGCAATTAAGATTCGATTACTGCGCAGGTTAATACAACATGACTGATAATAATCAAACATTTTTTGATGTACACCTTCTATTCGTCAGTGAAGTGGAACAAGGTAGCAAATAATATCAATGAAGACGTGTGTTAATGTCAATATTAATAATGCTCTTGTAATTGAAGCCCTGCTCCTCGTGTGAATCTCCTGTGATTTGACAGAAAAAATCTATAGTTTCAAAAATGTACTGAGTTAATTAACTGTCTTTTAGTATTAAAACGCAATTGAATTGTTAATAATAAAATTCTTAAATAGTAAACGCGAAATAGTTTAATTAACATAACGCCAGTGAATGGTTTTTTTCTAACTGCGTCGTATCGATCTGTAATGAAATTTGCAGCACAGCATATCTGCCACCATTGCGAAACGTAATATTGTGAAATGACATGTGGTGTTTAAGTTCGCACGTGTTTCAAAAAAATTCATGATATAATTATTCTGTACCAGGCAGGTTATGATATTATCGCCACTTTTGTTATTATTCTACTAAGGTGCGAATGCGTCTGTGTTGTGTGTGTGAGGAGATTTGTGTGTCTCTGTTGTGTGTATTTTCAATGCAATGTAATGTAATGATAACGCTCTCTCGTTTATTATACATACTGCATGCTAGATACAAATTGCAGACCATCGTTTCACCACCTGACAGACAAGCAAGCGACAGACACAACACAACCTCACTTGAGGATGTCCCAAGCTTACATTTGAACAACTGACACCCAGCGTAACTCGCCTCTGAGATCTTTTTAAAGGGCGCTTACAAACACACCAATAATAACTCCATTATGACAGACAATTCAACAGAAAATTTCATTTATTTGCAAACAGCTTGGCTGTACTTTTTGTAAACAATACAAAATGTTAACTAAAACATTTTTAATTATCCGTGCAAAGTATGAAAACTTACGAAGAAGATATTTTTTACAAATGCAGTATTGAGTTCGATTGCATGACGAACGAACGAACGATCATCAACATTTCATTTTTAAAATAACATCAAAACAAAACTTGGCAAAAACAATTTTACTGACCACAACCAAAAAAAGTTAAAATTCGACATAATTTTCGTAACAAACAACCAACAAAATTGAAACAACCACGTCGTCATGAAACATCGACGCTGGTAAAAATGATGACAACATCAGCAACAACAATAACACTAATAAAACATCAGCATTGCCATCATCAACAACAACATGAACAACAGTCACAAGAGCATAGCATAGCAGTTTGACAGGCTCACATTAATAGCAATCATTAAAGTCCTGGAAACATTTATTACTGAGACAATTACATACATAAACGACGACGTCTTTCGTTATAAATTGCCAACTTTGAATGAATTAATTATTCAACGACCATCCAATCTATATCGCATTGCCGTGTCTGCTACAGTTGCTGCCGCTGAAACTATGCGTGTTTGCAATGCGTGCACGCACTCACGCACACGCGTGCACAAACGCACGCGCACATTTTTTGAGAAATGATTATGTGATTATTTGTAATGAATATGACAAGTAGGAGAAAAACGTGAGGATGATGATGATGATGAAAAAAGGAAAAACATAATAACGATGACGATTGCACTACCACACTCACATTCGCATGCAATCCAATCAAACAACACATAACCAAACTTCAAAAACTTGAAAAGCATACAAACAAGCAAACACATTTATACAAATTTCCATACATGCCAACCCATGCAAACGTGCATTCAAACACAGGCATACTCACACTAACACAAACAGGCACATACAAGAGCCTCT